AAAATTATACTTATTTTTAAAATCTGTATAAAAATCTAATAATTTAATGTGCATATGTCTAATGATCATTTTTTGACCGCCAAAATGGCTTTTTTTTTTACTTTTTCACTAGATCTCCGAAACCGCTAGACCTGCCTTTCTTAAAATTTGATCAGTTTTTCATCTTGTCAAAGTAAAAGTTTTTTGATCGGACGCTCCGTTCTCTTAAAAACTGAGTTACCTTTTTGGCACATTGTAACCCGTATCTTCGAAACGGCTAGACCTGCCTATATTAAAATCTAATCAGCACGTCTCGTTATTAAAGGAGTCGAATGTTTTTTGAATAATCTCGTTATTAATAGGAGTCGAATGTTTTTTGAATAATTGAAATCGGTGAACCGTATTTCCAAAATCGTTGACGAAAATTTGTATCCGCACACACCAACACATACATTCATTTTTTTGTAACAATAAGGTATATTTCTACTAATATATTAAAGATATATAAAAATTTCAATTTTCGATTTTTTTGCGATTACTATAACTTGCCCTATGGGAATTTAATAATTATTTCTAGTTATACTAGAAAATGATTTTATTTGACTAGTTTGATATACCATTTAAACATAACATTAAAGAATACCAAAAATTCATCTACATTTGACGGAAATGATAAAGATTTCATATACATTTAATTAATACTCTTTCTTTTCACAAATCTTTACGCAATTTATGCAATATATGTGAACATTACCTCAGCACTGAGAGGGTGAATATAGTTGTAATCAGATAACTTTAGTAGTTCTTGAGATATTTATAAAATTGTATTATTTCTTTAAAATTCGAATTCGGTGGGGTGAAAAGGACCAACTAAACCTACCGGCAAAGATGTAAAACAAGCAAATAGGAAATAAAAAAGTGAAATAAATTTAAAAAAGCATTTTAACCTGAAATACCAGATACAGTGTGATCTTTGTAAAAAAAATATGCCATGATATTTGTATTTTGAATTGGTTGAATAATGTAGCTACTATTTTATAAAATTCTTTTAAAATTCAAAATAAGATCAGGAGGGACTTATTTGTATTCTGACTCTTCATTTTTACCCCATAGGCGGAGACAGCAAATTTTACAAAAATAGTTAGAATATGTACTTTTATAATTAGGAATTAACTTGCTGAACCTGGTTCGATAGTTGTTTGTTTAGCACGTGTTATGATCTGTAATGTAGTTCATTCGGTTTGGTAGACAATATAATTACTGAAAATACAATTTGACTCTATCCTACAGAAATTAATAAATAAATCTAAATAAATGAATTACTCTATTCATATTGTAAATAGAATAATATTAGGTTGTCAAATATCTCCCTTCCGCCTTTTTGTATTATAAACCAAGAGCAAAAAAGCGGAAGGGAGATATTTGACAGCCTATTATCTATTATCAGAATAACTGGCTGGATAAATAGGAAATGAATTAACACAATTTTGCAAAAATGGTATAATTATAAAATATTTTTGGAATGCGTAGTTCCTTACACATCTCCAATCAATTCGGTCAGTGAAAAGTTCAGATTTGTCGCAGTTACATTCGACATTCATAAATTAAATGCTTGAAAAATTATTTTATTAAATTTATTAATTATGTTTATATTAAACGCTTGGTGCAGAATACAATAATTTAAAATACAATATTTGAGGAATTAAAGATTATACGAAATTAAACTACCTATTATAGCTATTATTATTAGCTTTTCTATACTTTTCGCAAAGATTTATACTTTATTATTATTCTATACTTTTCGCAAAGATTTTATATTGCTCTCAAATATTACATGTAATTTCATGTTTGTAATTTAATGTATCAACTCCTGCTGATACAATTTTAATTCAAATCTATATCCTAACATCTGCTCAAACATCATGTCTCGTGCCTCTACCTTTAAGAGCGTTTTGCACGGTCAGTTTCTTTCGGCAAATGTTTATTTTACCTTCTTAAAACTTTCTTTTATCTGCCGATCTTATACGGAATTCCGTTTTCTGGAAAAAGTTGTGACTGCAGGCATTCTTCCTATTATTAAGCTCATAATGGAGTTTCATCTGCTGCTACCGTTGAAGAAATACATTGCCTTGAATGGAAGCATTATTAAATTTGTTGACACATACTATGTACTTGACATTTTAAAGTCAGATGCAATTTTCTATTGTGCTCGTATTCATTTTTAGTTGTTACGGAGTTAAGAATACAGTATAAGTTTAAATTGGATCTCTTATGCAGCAAACGGAAATTTTTATGTTGTTTTGGAGAATGGATCATTTGATACTCGATCTTCTATATTTGAAATTTGTTCTTACATATAAATGCATTTAAATCAAAATTGAGAACTAGTGGTGCATTGCATCGTGCTATAAGGCAAATTACTGAAACTTCTCGTGATTGATTTTTTTAAAAAAGCATTAAAATTTTTTAAGAACTGAAAGAATTAGATTTTTGAGCATATTGAACAATTTGAAAAAAAATTGACCTAATTTGAAAAATTTGAACTTGTGTTTTATATTTTGAATTTTTTTGAGTGGTTTTTATATTTGTGTTTATATTAATATTATATCTGAGGATTTTTTCAACCTTTACATTTAAAAATGAGATTTTATTTATGTTATTTAAAAAAATGATTAAAGAGCAGTCCTTTGTAGTTAGTTAGTTTAAGCCAGACTTTGTTCAGTACCAAAGCACGATCATTATATCTTTTCAAACAGGAATGCAAAACAGTTTATCAGCAATTATTATTCATAACTAGTAGCTAAATATTATCGGTATTAATT